AACTTCCTTCCTTTTAAAATCCAGAACTTTCTCCTGATTTCAGCTAATACACGTTCCACTCCAGCATGTCCAGTATTTAAGTGACAGCTTTCAACAATCAATCTTGAAATATGGTGGGCATGTGGAAGAATCACTGGGTGTTTTGCATCTTCTTCAAGTTGAGAATTTGTAATCTGCCTCCCACTCTCAGCAAATCATCATCTCCTTTGATTGGATTTAGCTTCTTTAACTGTAAAGGTTCCTTTGGGAGAGTCTTCTGTACATACAAAATAATATTTCTCTCTGCTTCCTTGAACTCTTTTACTGTTATAGGTCCCAACCTTGGTTTCCTTTTTAAGAAATGTTTAAGTCTAATGTACCACGCCACAGCTTTCTTCATTTTAAACCACGATGAGTAGTAGTTTAGTAACTTACAAGTATGATCAGCATTACTTTTTATACTGCAAACCACTGGACTTGCCTTCAGTTCTAAGAATTCTTCCAATTCTGAACATCTAAACAGTGGTTGCACAGGCCATTTATGTTCTTCACACTGTAAGAAATTTGGACCATGAACCCACCTATCATTCCTCAGCAAATCTGATGCAGACATTCCACGAGATGCATCATCTCCAGGATTTTCTTCAGAAGGTACATACCTCCACTGACTGACTTCAGTGTGATCAAGAATTTTACCTACTCTGTTGGCTACATATGTTTGGAAACGTTTATCTGAGCTGTTCAAGTACCATAGTACTATTTGACTATCCACCCAGTATACTGATATTTCTAGAGGTATCTCCAATTCTTTAGTTAGAATTTTATCAAGCCTTACAGCTTCTAGAGCTCCAGCTAGTTCTAGTCTTGGGATTGTAGAACCTTTCAGGGGTGCGAGACGTGACTTAGCCATAATCAAGTTAATATATACAGAGTTATCCTCAAGTGTTACTCTCAAGTATGATGCAACACCATACCCATATTCAGAAGCATCTGAAAAATGATGAAGTTGAGCCTTTTTTATAGTTAAACCTGTTGGATTAAAGCATCTGGGAACCTTAAACCTTTTAATCTCTGGCAAATCAGCTAACCACCGGCCCCATTGTTCCTCCAGTTCTATGGGAAGTGGTTCATTCCAGCCTTTTTGTAGTCTGCATAATTATTGAAATATTCTCCTAGCCTGTAATATGAATGGACTGACATAGCCTAGAGGGTCAAACACAGTGCTAAGTGTACTGAGCACATTCCTTTTGGTTTGGGTTCTGTTATGCATCACTTGTACATCAAATCCTAAGTAATCAGTATTCACATGCCACAGCATACCTAGAGCTCTCTCCGTGGATTGATCCTCCAAATTCAACTGCAGAGATATCAAAGATTTTCCTCGGTCCTCCTTTGGTATATGCTTCAGCAGTTCTGGTGATGAAGAAATATATTTAGTAAGATGAAATCCCCTTCTATTCAGAAGCTCTTTAACTTGCTTTGCTAAAACTATAGCAGACTCAACACTATTTGCAGACTTCAGGCAGTCGTCCACATAAAAGTTGCGAAGAACTGTGTTCAGTACTTCTGAATACATGTTGTGATACTCTTCAACTGTGCATAATTTGCACAGCTCGGGCTCCATACTCCTCCAAAGATATGAGCTGTCATTCGTAAGGTCTGTAGGGGTTGTGATGTGTTGTTGTTCTCAAACCACAGAAAGCGAAGTGAGTCTCTGTCTTCAGGGGTAACACACTTTGATGAAACATGGACTCTATATCGGCCATAAATCCCACTGCTCCTTGTCGGAATCTCAACAGAACACCAACAAGTCCATTGGTCAAATCTGGTCCCTGATGCACATGATCATTGAGTGAAGAGCCACCATACTTAGCAGCACAGTCAAAAACAATGCGACACTTTTCTGGTTTCTTTGGATTCAACACAGGGTGGTGCGGCAGATACCACACTTTGCCATCATGGCGGTGCAAGTCTTTTTCAGGGACTACTTCTGCATATCCTTTTTTTTAACAGTTTGTGGATTTCTTCAGAGTATTTTCTTTTTAGTGTGTCATCCTTGTTAAGGTGCTTGGTTAATGATATTAACCTCTTCTCGGCTAGGAATTTGTTGTCAGGTAAACTAGGTCGCTGTGCCTTGAATGGTATACTCAATGCATAATGTCCCTCTATCACCTGGAGTGTACTGTTCCATGTGTCAACTGCTTTCTGGTCACTAACTGACCAGCCCTTCTCTTCTGCAAAGGCATCCTCTATCTCCCATAGTCTCTTCATATCACCTTCCAATGGTACACTTGCCTGTATCAAATATGAAAAATTAGTCGACTTACCAAAAGGGTTCACTGGTCCATTTATGACCCAGCCTAGTGGTGTGAGCAAGGCAAAAGGTTCTCCCTGTTTACCTTTTGACATCAGTTGGCAGCAACAAGTCTGAAGAGTCTTGGCCAATCAGTAAGTGCACTTGGTCTGCCTTCACTTCTGGTATATCCAAATCTCTAAGGTGCGGCCACTGCACAACATCCATTTGTGTTGATCTACCTGTGAGATCTATATTCAGACTTGGTCTCACAGTTGCTTCTATGTTGTATTGTAAGTCACTAACCTCGTTCACACTGGAAACAGTCAAAGACACTGCTGTTGTTTCCACAGACATTCGGTTCTGTGTAAGTGTGGTTAACTCCAAATTGCGCATAGTTCCTTGGATTCCTAAATGATTGCACAGAAACTCACTGCAGTAAGTAGCGTTACTACCAGGAT